CTTATGATAAGGACCAGTGGTGGATCCCTGTGAATTCGATAATGACCCTTGGGATTCCATAAAATATGGGGAATTTCTTGAGTAGCTGAGGGACAGTTAGCATTTAAAAGGGACTTTCTCAATGTATATAGTTAGTCATTTAGTTTTTTTAATTAGTTAGAATCAACGCATAGGCCGTGCCATAACTCAGGCAGTTAGTAGGGTGGCTTCCCACCGCGGCGGCCCGGGTTCGAGCCCAGGTCAGATCATATGAGATTTGTGGTGGATAAAGTGGCTCTTTAGAAGGTATTCTCCGAGTACTTCGGTTTCTCCTGCCAATTCTCATTCCACCAACTGCTCCACACTCACTTATCATCCAGGGATGATACAGTAGGCCAGTTAGTGTCCAACGTACCAAGTGGACTCAGTCTCACCCCACCCCAAGAAATTGAAATAAACTAAAATAACTGCATCAATTTTTATGTAATTGTTGTTTTCTTATTGACACTGGAAGTTGGTCATAGCCTCGAATGGTAGGATGATCAGTGAATTATGAATTGGAAACGAATCGGGGGGCATCATTTGAGACAGTCCGGGTATCACGGCATTTGTCGGGAAGGACTGAGAAAAACCACTAAAGACCTTAAGAAAACAGATGGTCTGACTGAGATTCGAACTTATTGCGGCCCCCGAACAGAATTAAGAAAATTGAAACATCTTCTATCTTCTGCTGATGTAAGTATAGACGGCTGTCGCTAAATATTTTAAATGGGTTATGATGCAATCAGATGAAGCGTGTTTTAGATCACCACATGTATATAATTGAAGGATGGATTTAGACAAGATGTTATTGCCTTAGACAAATGAGTCTGCCTATGCTAAAGATGTGATGAAGTAAAAAAAATCAACTTAACGCTGTGCAGTCTGGTAGATACCGATTTTTCAGAGGAATTTTCTACTTCCTTCTTCAAGGTATAACAATGAGAAGAGTGCTGGGAGATATATATGACAAGAGAAGAGACTTTTCTGCTCTGAAGATTGAGGTAGAATTTTACTTTGACAAGTCTGTAAGTATCTACCAAACTGCACGGTGCCACGTACTAGCCGAGAGCAATCGTCGAAATGTATTTAATTTCCCGGTATGCTTGTTGTCTTAGTTAAGACTGTTGGATTTCTTACAGTTTACATTATTTCATAAAGCGACTTATGAGCCTGTTTCTCTCTACGTCAAAATTAACACAGGCGTAATATTATAAATAATACTGGAGCCAATACCCGCTGAGAACTCTGGCTTTACGCAACGTGATTTCACTTCTGGAGGAACCTGATGGCTTCTCACAAGTTACGCTGTGGAAAGTCCTTGTACAAACATTTAAAAACATTCCCTTGCATAACAGTTCAGTTGAAACGTTCCTTGAGAACAATGAACTGCAGTAAATTCTGGTTAATGAAGAAATTAGTTTAATTACTTAACATAAAAGTGACTTAAACTTTCATAAATATTTCTTTGACTAACTACTAAATTGCTGCTGGTCCTCGCCAGCCCATTGATTCTTGATTCCAAGTTCCGCGGACTCATAAATACAGTTTACTGTCTCACGACTCTGGGAGCTATCTGACCCTCCCGAGTTATTTGAAAGCAACCACCTGCCTTATATGCTTTAAGAAATCGATACAAACATATTGCACACATGTGTATGAGCTTCTTAATATTCAATTTACCTTGATTGCACTACCTTGGGAACGAAATCCATTCTTGCACGGTAGAGCATTGTTGGTTGCTCCGTAGTTCATTGTTGCTTGCTCATACCGAAATATGTCCGAACGGTAGTGTCTCTTTCGACACAAACGGACATTTGTAGTCTGGGCCCTTAATTTTCTTACCGATATTTTGCTGAATGTACCCAACATGCAGGGGGCACATGGTAGCATAGTTGGTTGAGGCACTTTGCTACAAGGAGGACGGTCTCTGTTTCGATTCCCGGTGGGGTAATTGAGATTTTCAATTGACCTAATCCTTCCAGACGCACTATGGCCCTGGGGTCGACTCAGCCTCTAATAGAAATGAGTACCAGGAATCTTCCTGGGGAGTAAAGGACGGCCGGCACGTAAGGCTGATAACCTCACCGCCATCTGTGAGCAGATTGTATAGAAAATGTGGGGGCCTCTACGTCATGTAACCCTATGGGCCTCCACGGCCTGTTAAGAAGTTATATCCTCGTTTATTCTACCCCATATGCAGTTTTGTGTAGGAAAATGAACTCCATAAATTATTGGCATTTAATAGAAGTCGTTATAGCCTTCCTTCTAGAAAATAGCGCTTATGAAGGGGTCCAATTTTTTGAGCAGTAATGCTTATATTGTTGTGTGTTTGCCCCATGAAAGAACTGTTGAGCCAGTTTCTAAGTAATACCCTCGCGCCGTCTTCTTCATGGTAGAAATTAAGTTGTAAAGAAAGAACTGGAAATACAATCTATAAATTTGTCCCTATCGTTAACTAAGAACTACGCCATAGATCCACGTTTTCTTGACTTTGGCACTAGTTGGAGGTGAGTAGTCAGCTTTACGCCCCGGCCGCTTAACCCTGGCAAATATCCTTGGTACTCATTGGATAAGAGGCTGAGTGGGCCCCAGAGGCGGTCTGGACGACGTGGAGAAGACAAAAATTCTTGCCCCTAACGGGATTCGAACTCCGACTCATCGGTTTTACAGCCCGTAGCCAGTCTCT